CTGAATTGAAAGTGGAAGAACTTGAGTGACTTTTGAGCTGAATTTATTTACACAGAAATTATGTTAACTTTTTGGTACTAAATTACTTCTAGTTATATAAAAAATAATAGCATTATAAGACAATTTCTGATAGGTATGAAAATAAAAGAAGCTATTGATTTAACAGATAGTATCCGCTGTGAGTAAGGTACCCTACTGGTGTCTTAACCATCATATTGAAATGCTCAAACTTGGGAAAAAGAAAAGAAGAACTAGCAGTAGTTACTAAGTAAAAACAGCCTCAGAAACACAAAGTCAAAATTTATTTGTATTGTTGTATGTCATCACTTATTAGCATGATTCACCTTAATAGACCAAGACTCAAAATAAATTTTAATTCTGGGAATTACTTGGTTAAAACTATTGCCAGAACAGGTTATCACTAGAAGTCTGCTAAGCTGGGCTATCCCAGAACTCAGAACCAGTTCCCTGGTTTAATTTTTATAAGACCTTTTTTATTAACCCCAGTAATGGAAACATTTGGTCAGCCCTGCATAGCTTGGCCTTTGCTTATCATGACATGTATAGGATGGACATCTTTGACTTATATAACATTGTTTAAAAATCAGTGAAGATTTCCAGTTTGGGTTCTGGAAAGCTCAAAAGGTGTGTGTGCATGTTTTATTGTACAATGCAGATAGAATGTTGAGTGAATAATCTGGCAGAGGTTAGAAGAGGAAAAAGTTGGATTTATATAGACAAATTCCTTTTATATTTCCCACGTTTCCCACAGTAGAGTTGGAACGCAAACATAGCCGTGTGCAGATCCCTGTATCAGTGAGCTGGGGTTTTGCTCAGCTGGTCTGGAGGAGCTGCTGCAACAGAAATGTAACATAGCCATCCTTGTAAATTTTTCTAGTGACCACATCATGAAAAGAAATAGATGAGATGAATTCCAGTAATATATTTTACTTAGCCCAGTGTATGAAAAATTTCCAAAGTGTAATTGACACAAAAATATGAAATATTTCACATCATTTTCTTCATGTAAAGTCTTCCAAATGAAGTGTGTATGCAACACTTAAAACTCTCTCAGTTGGGATTAGATAGATGTCCAGTGTGCTGTGGCTATAATGACATTTGCCCTGGACAGCAGCAAAGCTGTAATGTGGTTCTCTGAATATGAAACTGTCACTGGTTGAATAACCAGCCCTTGAAATTTCACTTCTGGTTTGAAATTGCCACCATTGTGAGAGGTGATGTCTCTTGCCTGATGGTTACGGAGACTGAGTACCTGAAGACCCTTCCGCAGCGAGGAAATAGGGCCTTCGTCTCCCCTGTGTCTTCATGAGGGGAGGGGTCAGCCGAAGGGAGGGTTAAAGAATAGGATTCTTCGGAGTTGCAGTGTAGATTTAAGAGTGGAGGGAGTTTAAAGTTTGAGAAGTATGGGGACATTAATGGGTAAGAAGAGGGAAAAGACTGCCAATAAACCCCAAGGCTGTGTTTTCTGGGTATTATTTTCCTGTATTCATTTAAGTGTGAGTCAGTCATCCAAGGAGAAAGCCGTTTTAAATTCTAGACAAGAAGAGTGAAGCAGGAGCCATCAGTGATTTAGCTTGATGTTAACAGGGTGCCTTCAGGAGCAGTCCTCAGGGAGTCCCGGTGGTGGGGGGACCAGGACCGCGTCTCCCCACGTGGGCCATGGGAGGGAAGTCAATACACAGTCCCAGCCAAGTGAAATTCAGGCAAGTTCAATTTTTTTGGGCAGAACTGTAAAATGATCAGGGAACTTGCCTTTGAAATTAGGAACTGGGGTATTACATCGGGAATTTTTATGTTTCAGTGGAAAGAAGTATGAACACAGATCGTGAGATTTAAAAGGTGGAAACGTCAAATTCAGGCAATAGGCTGGGGTGAGGTGAGGGGCTGAGTAGGTGCTCTGGTTGCAGTCTGCATATGATTTGCTGATAGTAGGGAGCCCTGTAGTGATCTGAGTGGACTCTAGAAGGCGCATTTGGGAGGAGGAAGGCATTGAACAAGGTGGCCCCTCTCTCTGGCGTGTGGCAGGAAGCCTAGGCCTGCTAGTCTGCTTGTGAGTACTAGCAAATGGCCAGACAAAAGAAGTTCCCATAAACACTCGAATTGCTTAATGCAGTAGAAGAGTTTTTTAAAATTATTGTTGTGGTTATAAATGTGGCCTTTTGGTGTTACATGCATCTAATGTAATTTCTGCCAGTAAATCCATCCTTGGTTTGCTTGGTGGAACTAAACACACCAATGTAGCAGTTTGTGCGAGAGAGGACCTGACTTCTGGTCTCTGGGGCAGACTTGGGCTCAGCATGCGGATGAATTTTTTAAGGACCTCGGGCTAAATCACCAAGGCACCGTGTTCTGAATCATTCATCCCCCTCCACACTGAAGGTGCTCATGTCAAGGCCAGGTGGCCCCCTGCTGGAAGCAGCCTGCGAAAGGATTCTGCTTCAGTCACCCCTGCAGTCAGGGACGCTGCTGCTGATTTGCTCAGTGCAGCTTTTTCATTGCTCCTCCACGCCAGGCATGGTACCAGCAGCCTGGCTTTGTGTGTACTTACTACCATGAGGGTGATGCTGTCCATCTTGAGGAGTATCAGAATCACCCAGAAAGCTTGTTAAAAGGACCTGGTGTTCAATCCCTGGTACTGCATGCTGCACCGGCCCTGCCCCTGGGTGCACTGAGCCCGCCACCAAGTCCAGGTGTGGTGGATTACACATCTGTAATCCCCGTGCTGGGGAGGCTGAAAACAGGAGGATCACTACAAGTCCAAGCTGCGTAGTGAGACCCTGTACCAAACATATAAAATAAAAATAATTTAAAAAAGAAAAGGACCGAGTGATGAGCGTGATGGCACAGGCCTGTAATCCATGCAGTTGGGAGGCTGGGGCAGGAGGACTGCCGTGAGTTTGAGGCCAGCCTGAATTATTTCTAGCCAGATCTACCTGCAGGCCCTAGGACTGCAATGTGCCTGTAGCCCTAGTTTAAGGCAGGGGTGCCATTTGGTGATGATCTCCTCAAAGTCACTTGGTCTGTGATGTAACTGGGAAGGAAGTTGCTATTGGCATCTGATAGGTGGGAGCTAGGATTACCATGAAACATCCTGTGATGCACAGGGACAACCCTGGGACAAAGAGCCACTACTGCTGGCATCAGCAAACTCCCATGGAGGGGAGCCGCAGAAAGGCAAGCGCTTATGATAGGCCGCGAAGAATGCTGTGATTGACCTGAGGAGGCATTTGAGAGGCTGTTCCAGTCCTGACGTAGTCTCGGGCCAGTCAGGGGCAGCAGGACCCTGTGCTGTTCTGACTGCCATACAGCAGGTGGGTTCCGCAGGGAGACTGCCTGGGAGGCCGAGTGCAGTTTCACAGACTAAGTGATGTTTGACAGCTTCCTAAGATGGGTAGGATTTCGCCGGGGGCATTCTAGCCCAAGGGAATGCGCGGGGGGGCAGAACAAAGAGAACGTGCTGAGTCGGTCTGTGTGTCTGGAATAGAATATAAGCTCAGAGAAACTGGGTGGTCACCGTTGCAGGGCATGTAAGGAAAGCCCCTGTCAGAGGGGTGACCTTTAGCCAGAAGGGAGCAGCAGATGTGAGGCCATCAGGAATTAGGCCTGCTCCTGATTTGTTGGGTACAACTTCATCATCTTGACAGGAGTCCCAGCCCACGTGTGCAGGGTGTGAGGTCAGGAGCACCTCCTGCCCCTGCCAGGGTCTGTGGCTGCCAGTGGAACATGAAAGCCTCCTGACCTGGGGCTTCAGGGTTCACAAGACTTTCATATTCCTCCATCCGGGGTCTGTGTGCTAGGCACGTGCATGTGTGCGCACGCATGCACACACACACACACACACACACACACACACACACAGTGTTATCACTGGTTTTCTGAGTAGACACTTCCATAAGAAGCAAGATGCACCTTTTGCGCTGCACTGGCATGCTTGGTGACAGGATGGCTCGTGAGCCAGCCATTGACCGTTGCATCAAAGCCTTACTGGAAATTTTGTCTCCCTCCAAACTGAAGGCATTGTGCTGGTTGGTGCACAGTAAGCATTTATTGAATACTCCCTGTGGTCCTGGCACTAGATCATTCCCATTTTTAAAAAATCTTTAGTTTCAGTGCATATTTTAGTATTTATACGTTGCTAAGAACTTGTGAAAGGTTCTAAAGGTTATACAATCAAAAGGAAGGCTTTCTCCGTACCTCGTTTTTTCTTACAACATCAAAGAAGCTACTGTGATTACTTTCTAATATATTTTCCAGGGAGATGTTTTGCCTTCATATAATTCCTAACCCATATAGACAAGCACTCTGCCACCCTTTTTCCCTCTGGTTCCCGGGGACTAGAATTTGCCCCTCTGACTCTGACACTTGAGCTTCTTACTTTAATGCTGACCCTTCTGTCAATGCTGAGCTGCCATGTGGGTTGGCATTGCAGTGTGACCCAAAGCTTTACTGTCCCAGACGCTAGGTAGCTGCCAGCCCACCATCACTGTCACCCACCCTTTGGTAGAGATTGGAGCCCTCGCACACAGGGAGGACAGCAGATCCATCCCAAGCTGCCTGATGAGTCCAGACCCGGACAGCAGCAGCAGTGGGGAGTCTCAGAACTGCTCAAGCGTGCTGGCCCCTCCCTTGTGAGAGCAGTGGTGACTGTCAGGGCCTTCCTGCCATGCAGTGGGGTGCTGCAGTCCCTGGAAGAATGTTCAGCGCAACTCGCAGATTGAGGAGCTCGTGCCATGAGGATTGAGGTTGTTGAATCTTTGCAGTCATTCTTTTTCCCAGGGAACACACTCAGGAGCCTTGAGGTGGGACATGTGTCCCACTTAGAGTGCGTTCCTCAGCCTTCAGAAGTGCTAAAAAGCACACTATCCACAGAGAAGTGCTGGCTGGGGACCTAACTGGTTTCAAATTGTGCCTGTTTAAGGTGTGTGCTTGGAAGTTTGCTTCCTGTTGCGTGACGTGCTTCCCCTCTCCATTCCTGGCAGGTAACAAGGAGGGAGCACATTCTTCTACCTGCTGGGTGTTGCTGAGCATCGTCCTGGGCGCAGTGGCCATGCTGTGCAAAGAGCAAGGGATCACTGTGCTGGTAAGAGTCACACACAGCCTGTGCACCCTGAGCACAGCCCAGCTGTCCCCTCTATCCAGGCACTGTGGGCCAGCCCTGCCTGTACTCCTGCATCCCCTGCTGGGACTGGGTCAGTGAACCTTCTGGACCAGTGGCCTGTGCTGTCACAGTTCAGATGAGGAACTGACTGTCACTGTGGGCCATCCTTCGCCCTTGGCGGAGGGATGAGAAGGCTTTGGAGAACTGAGAACAGGATGAACTAGAGAACAGGATGTGTGCATGTCCCTGTGAGTTCTGTCTTCTCGGTGTCATCCGGGAGACACAGCACACCGGCGTGTATTTCACAGTCTTCTGGCACTGTGATCAGGCCCATGTCGTGTGGCGTTGGGCCCCACTTCAGCTGGTGCTCAGCCACTTAGTGAAGTCGAGTAGATTAGGTTCCTGAACCTTCCTGTGTGCGAAGGTCCCTGCTAGCCACGGTGAGGAGCACTTCCATCTCCATCCCTGCTCCGATCTCTCTTGTTGTCTGTCACCCAGCTCCCCTAGCAGCCAAAGTGACCTTGTCAAAACTAAGTGATGCTTGAAGCGCACTTTTCTTCTGAAACCCTCTCAGGGCTTCCTCTCACCCCACGGCACACTGGGCCTTCTCCTTTCCTGCTTGGCCAGGCTGGTTCCCTGCCTGGCCCTGTCCTCATGCTTCCCATCTCAGGTTCAAGGTCAGCATCTCCACAGAGGCCTCCCTGTCCCTACCCTCTCATCATCCACCTCCTTGTTGTAGTGCCACGTTTGCTCTGCTCCCACAGCAGCACCACCCTTAGAGCGACTGGTATGTGCTTTGGTGACCCTGGTGATCGGCTTGCTCTGTAGGAATCCCCTTCATTTGTTCTTCTGTCTTTTGCGTCTTCTATCATACTTCAGTTTCATGAGGGCAGGCACGGTGTCTTTTGGGAACTCTGAAGAATAAATGTATTCACTAAGTAAATTCTAAGTGAATCTTCATTGAGTGGGAGATTTAGTCCGTGAAATAACATGTATTTATTGACCACCTCACATAGACACCTGTGTATTTAAAGAACAGTTGAGCATATCCCATAATGCTCAGCTTCTATGTCCCTCCATGCTTTGCTTTCATGACCCATCATGCTCAGCTTCAATGGACAGCACCAAAGAGGGTCAGGAGCAGGCCTTGTGGGTTTTGATTTTTTTAATTTTTTTAAAAAAATTATTCATTCATTCATTTGGTGCAGGGTCTTGCTACACAGCTCAGACTCATACTGATCCTCCTGTCTCAGCCTCCCCAGGGCTGGGATTACAGGCATGCACCACCATGCCCGGTTTTAGTGGCCATCATGATGTGCCCAGAGTTCCAGGGCCAGCACAGCATACAGTTCAGGGGATTGAACCTGGGTCCTTGTGCTTGCCAGGCAGGCGCTTAGACCACCAAGCTATCTCCCCGGCCCAGGAGCAGGCTTTGAAAGCACACATGCTCCTGAATGTGCTCCTAGGCCTGGTCTCAACAGAGTCTGGGTTTTGAAACTTCAGGAAGGGAGAAACATTGAGATCTTTTTTTTTTTTTTTTCTTCTGTTTTAGCAGTTCATGATTAGAGGAAACTTTAGAAATGAAGGTTGTGAGCAGAAGAAAAGAAATGGACACAAAGAATTGGGATTTGAGTGACCTTAGAGGAATAGCTTGGGAGAAATAGGGCTGTCAAAGTATCTGGGGCTTGACACAAGTCAAGAGAAGGATTAGCAGTTTTGTCGGGCTTTATCTGTAAGATTAAGGTTAGCTAGCCAAGAAACAGCCATGGAAGAATTACTAGGGAGAGGTACTCAGATCTCCTGAGTTACTTTCTTCTTGAGTTTGCTCTGTACCAGACTGTCTTACCTTTGGCATTGTGACATTTTTGACCAAATAATTCATTCTTATGCAGTCCATCCTAGGTGTTACAGGGCATTTAGCAGCATCCCTGGCCTCTGCCCCCGCATGCCCATTGGGCTCCCTGAGTTACGACAACATAAATGCCTCCAGACCTTGCTTGTTCCCTGGGGGCACACACATCCTCTTGAGGCCCACTGCTCCAAAACCTTGCTCTACAGTGAAGGATGATTTGAGGACCAGAAGTGTCACAGCAACCAGGACTTGTTAAGGATTCAAGATCTCAGTCCTTCCCCCTGTTTGGCTGAGTCAAACTCCTCGTTTGACCAGGCCCTCAGGCAACTCCTGTGTACATTCATGTTTTAGGTCCACTAAAGATTAAGTTCAGTTTGCATAAATAAAACATGGACATTTTGATGCTGCCAGTAAGTGGGATGGAGGAAGGAATACTAGTTTTGTATTTGACCCTGTGTTGTGACCACATGACTCTGTTACCTCTTGGTGACTGTCCCTCAGCGCTCAGGCAGAAAAGCAATGTGAGAAGACAGTGACAGCCAAACAGGGAGCTCCTGCCTTCTAGCAGTGGCTTTACAGCCAGGCAGAGATGGCCTTCTGTGACCCACTACAATCATGTGTCACATATGTGAATAAAATCAGGATTCTCTGAAATGTTTAACCCAGCACTGGCCCGTGTATTGGATAATTAGTGGAGACAAGGTTTATGGGACAGGGTTAAGTAGCGATGTCATGTTTGCTCTGAAAACCACAAATTACCACTGACTTTCTGAGGATTTAGGATCTTCTTTCTCACAAAGCCACATGTTAAAAAGACCCAGTCATGTGGGGACAGCTTTAACCACACACATCAGTATATTCAGATTGCCTTGTCTAGATTGGGAAGGAAGTTTGACTGGGTGCCGTTGCATATGTAGGGCATCCGCCACAGGGTGTGGACACCACGGCTCCTCTCTTCCTTAGCCTGTAATGGTAGATTTAATGGATGCCAGAGAAGCCCTTACCTGCTAGGAAGAAAAATGGTGCTGGCAGAAGCTGTGAGCAGAGGCAGGACCTCATTGCCACACTGCTGGTGGCTTCTCAGAGTTGATTTGCTACTCACCTAATAGTTGTGGGCAGCTCTTCAAGTGGACAGAGGTGGCTGTCTCCACACAGCAAACACAGCCAATGGAGGCCATGCCAGCCTCAGTGTATGGTTTCCAAAATTGCCTTGGCTTCTCCATCCCAGCAACCTGGAAAGGGGAACTGGGAGCAGGAGAGCCACAAGCTTTTATCCAAACCTCCAGTCATGCATGTTGCTTCTCCTCAAGCTCTGCAGGCTAAGCTCAGCCAGAAGGGCTTGTTGGGGGAAGGGGCTTGGGAGGGAGAGCCTAGCTGTGTACCCAGGAAAGGGGCTTCCTGGGCCAAGGAGTCCAGGCTGCAGAGGTCTCCAGAGCCCCTTGAGGGCTCAGCACGAGCTCACTCATGGCTAGGCAGGCGAATTGAGGCTGCCTTTATCTTTTTAGGTGCAATTGCCACACAGGTATGTACCCACCTGTTACATGAACCGAAAGACTGTTCCATAGTTGTGAAAGGAAAAAATAAAATAAGTAGGCTCTCTGGGGAGCTTTGCATAGGAGACCTCAATGTTTTGCTATTCTGAATCATACTTTTAAATGCAGAATGTGAAATCATTACTAACAGGGAGTTACCAAATGGGATGTGATTTATTGCCGTGAGCTAGTTTCATACAGACATAGGGTGTTCTTTTTTAAACACTGAAGTAATCTTCCATGATTGTCTAACTCTTTGCAATCCCTGTCTAGATTCAGTTATAGAATTGTAACCTCTGCCTCATGACAGCCAGGCTGTCCTACCCCTGACTGTGTGGCTTTGCTTCCTTAGGGTTTGAATGCGCTATTTGACATCTTGGTGATAGGCAAATTCAATGTTCTGGAACTCATCCAGAAGGTACTACGTAAGGACAAGTCATTAGAGGTGAGTATATACTTTTGTCTCTGGTCCAAACATGGAAAATGTCAGGCGCTTGCTGATTTCAAATGCCATTTTCCAAGTAGTTCTTGTGATTTCAAATTTTAATGTAGCCAGCCCTCTAATGCACAATGTCAGAGCCATTCAGGCAGAATTGTTCACATCAGTACCTGGCTTAGTCACATTTTGACTTGAAAATCGGCAACAGCAGGGCTTCGCTGTGTCTTTCAGCATTTGGGTGCGCTCAGGAGCGGGGGCCTCCTCTTCCGCATGAGCCTCCTCACCTCAGGCGGGGCCGGCATGCTCTATATGCGCTGGAGAATCATGGGAACCGGCCCACCAGCCTTCACTGAGGTGGACAACCCGGCCTCCTTTGCCGACAACGTGTTGGTCAGGGTAAGTCTGAGCCCACGCCCCTTTGGCTTAAAGTATTGACAGGGTGTGAGTGAGCACTAAACACTCATCTCTTAGCATCTGTGGGGAGCCGGTTTCAGGACCACCATGGATGCCCAAACCACAGATCCAAGTCCCTGTGTCAGATGACGGTATGTTGCACACCACGTATAGACCTGAGGTCACCCCTAGTTTTTATGGGCTGCCTGGCAGAATCCCTACATAGCACCTTATTCATGATCCTTCGTGGAAGGACCCAGTGCACACCAAATTCAAGTTTTGCTTTTTGGAACTTTCTGGAATTTTTCCCTCAAATATCTTTACTCCATGCTTGGTTGAATCTGCAGATGTGGAAATTAAGAATACACAGATGTGTATGTGTTTCCTTTGTAATGGAAAGGAAGGAAAGCCATTCCTTCTGATTTCAGGTTCATTGCCAGTCTCGTTGAAAGGCCCCTGACCCCTGAGGTGGCTAGGTTGTGACAAGTTGATCACTAATAGCTTTAAAAGCCTCACTGTGTCAAAGCTCATTTTTTTTAGGTTTTGGTCCATTTTTGCAAAAGCACACGTTCACTCAGCTGTACAGGAATCAAAAGAACAGCCTCAGGAGCTGAGCCTCAGAAGCTCTGTGTCGTTAGGCATGCAGGTGACCTCAGAGCTTCAGACTTCCCCGGTCATGGGCCACGAGCACGGATAAGTAAATGCATCATGCTTGGCCAGAAATGGGACAGGTACACTCCCTGGCCTGGTGGCATGGCTGTACTTTTAATGTATTAAAATCTGAGTTTATTTAAAAATTATAGACAGTTCCATACTCTTTAACTATAGGCTGGCAATATTTTATTTCTGCCCTCCTTGAACAGAGCCTTCAAAAGTGATGTTCAGAGATATATTTATTTATCTATTTTCAAGTTCAGTATCAAGTAAATGTTTGTTTTCCTTTTGACTGACAGGCCATAAACTATAATTACTACTATTCATTGAATGCCTGGCTGCTGCTGTGTCCCTGGTGGCTGTGTTTTGATTGGTCAATGGGCTGCATCCCCCTCATTAAATCGGCTGGTGACTGGAGGGTAATTGCCCTGGCAGCACTGTGGCTCTGTCTAATTGGCCTAATATGCCAAGCCCTATGCTCCAAGAACAGCCACAAGAGAAGGTAAGAGGCAGCCCTGAATTTTAACTTCTATCCCAGAAGCATTCAGCTAAACGCAGCACTGATCTTTTTAACAACCTTGTGGATGTGATGATCAGAACATTGTTTCAGACACATCTCAAAGATGCTTGGAGAATGAACTCCATGCACTTGGGAGTCTGAGTCAGCCTTCAACTAATGGGAGGGAAAGTTGGGAGAGGGGCGCCAGTCACTGTTCCATCTTTCCTGCCCTTCGCCAAGTGCTCTTGGAGATCTTTTTCACTATAGATGGTAGAGAGTAATTTCTGGTCAGAACAGAGAGTATAGTTGGTGTGTGTTATATCCACTATGTTACATTTCTTTTTAAAAACAATCCAAAAACCTGTGAAAGCTATGGTGCTTCCAACCCACTGTCCCAAAGAAACTATTTTTTTCTTGACTGAAAAAAAAAACAGAAAGGTTCTTGAGATAATAGTTTGGAAAAACAATTGTGCTGCATAAAAATGAAATCTGTTTAAGGTAATTTACCTTTAGTGTAAGCATTCACGGAATTAGATTAGTGATTTCTCAAAGTAAGTTTTAAGTTCACTTGCATCTTAAATTCTAAAGCTTTTCAATTCTAAAGATCAAAAAGCTTCTGTCACAGTCAGTTTACCTACATGAGAAGTGGGATTAAAAAAAAAACACCATAGATACAGAGTCCAGAAAGGAGCTACCAAAATGATGTGGCCTCTTCGCCTGTCACCTGATAGGGACATCAGGAATGAGCAAGAGATGCATCATGCCCAGCTCTTCTTTGTGCTTGACGGAGCAAGCATCAAAAAATGACATGAGTTTATATTTCAGATGTTATGTGTAAGCCACCTCAGTAGTAGTAGTCCTAAGTTTGGGAGAAAATGTTCCTGTGGAATCTACATTGAACTAACTGGAACCAGTTCAGTACCTAATGGTTTGAGCCATGGAAAGGAGTAGGTGAATTCTAAAGTACTGTAAGTGTAGTCGTTCTGATATCCATATGAATTATGATTTATGAGTTAATCCTTATGCTTGATGTTGAAGTGCCTTAGTATTATTTTACAGCTTATCCTGCGCCACTAGCCAAACTCTCCCAGTGATTTCTTTCCCCTTGACAGTGGTTCCTTTCTCAACTGATGGCATGAAAAGAAAGGTCTTTGTCATCAGTTGAATACTGAGTAGGACATGCTTCTTGAAAAGTCTGGAAACAGACTTTTGGGTTGGGTCAAGTGGGTCAAGTGCTGTTTGCCTTCCAGAATCCTTACTCTGGGCCTGGGATTCCTCGTGATCCCCTTTCTCCCTGCGAGTAACCTGTTCTTCCGAGTGGGCTTCGTGGTGGCAGAACGCGTTCTCTACCTCCCCAGTGCGGGCTACTGTGTGCTGCTGACCTTCGGCTTTGGAGCCCTAAGCAAGCACACTACGAAAAAGGTATCAACCCGCATGTGCCGCGCGCACCAGCTCCGCCGCACGCGGGTCACTGATGGCATTTGCTGTGTTTTTCTCTTCTTAAGAAACTCATCTCTGCCTTCGTCCTGGGGATCTTACTCATCAATGCGCTGAGGTGTGTAATTCGCAGCGGCGAGTGGCGGAACGAAGACCAGCTTTTCAGAAGTGCCCTGTCTGTGTGTCCCCTCAATGCTAAGGTACCTTTGGCTGCCGGGTTTCTTTCACAAAGACACTGCCAGGAAATGTTGGAGGTCTTCCAGCGGGGGAGGAGGAATGACTGGTAGTGGACAGCGCTCAGTATAAGGCCATGACTAGATGCTCAGGTTTTCTTTTGTCGATGTTGTTGGTTTTAATGATTTTTGTAAGAGTTGTTAGAATTTAATGATGAAAACCTGACCATGTCAGTAAGATCACCGAAAGTGGCGCTCATCGTGCCTTTGCTGTAAAACCATGCAGGAGGCAGGCTGGCCCTAGCTGCGTGGCACGGGCTCTTCAAGCTGGCATGAGCCTCCTAGGGCTGTGATGTGAAGGAGTTACTCCTACACTGGCAAGCATTTGATCACAGAAGCAGAAGTTACGCTGCATGCTGCGCAGTAGTGTACGTTGCTGTCACCCTCGAGTCCACTGCTGGGGACTCATTTCGTCAGACTAGATAAAGCATGCAGACATCAAAGATGGCAGTGTTTTTTGTTAAAGATATCTGGGAAGGATTGATTCACATGTATGTTTTGTTTATTTGTGTTTGAGACGAATTCTTGCTGTGTTACACAAGCTTGCCTCAAGCAGTCCTCCCGCCTCAGCCTCCTGAGAAGCAGCGATTATGGGCTTATGCGAAGCACCCGCTTGCTTGTATTGTTGCTGAATCCAAACTTTTCACTTAACAAAGTTATGTCTCTGGGCAGGACAAAGGTTTTTGGACTTCTAGTGGCCTTTTTTCTAAGAAGGGGAGAATACCTGTCCGTTAAGTTGATTGTTAGGGCTGAAAGAACTGAGACACCTTAATGTGTCTGACACATAGTAGGTGCTCAAGCAGTGTCAGCTTTCACAGGTTCATTTTAGTTTGGTTTCATGTGAGGTGGCAGGAAGGGAATTGTGTGCTTAACCTGGGGGTCAAGGCCTTAGGTTAAAGACTTTTCCTGTTAATGTAGGTTATCATCATTAGATCATTGTTAGGTCATCTTTCTTTTTTAAAATTAATTAATTATTTGGTACAGGGTCTCGTTACGCAGCTTGAACTCATAGTGATCCTCCTGTCTCAGCCTCCCCAGTGCTGGGATTACAGGCGTACACCACCACATCCAGTTTCAGTAGCTGGCATGGCCTGCCTGGGGTTCTGGGGCCAGCACAGCATGTGGTACCAGGGATGGAACTTGGGTCCTTGTGCTTGCCAGGCAGGTGCCTAGACCACCAAGCTATCTCCTCGGTCTCTTCTTAACTTAAGGTGTACAAAAAAGGACCTCATCTTGAAAACCGAGGAGTTGGGTTTTGTGTAGGTTTGGTGCTTTGTGGGTTTTTTTCTCTCTACTATAACTTGAAGGGTCATAAAACCACCTTCCTTTTTGGAGAAGAGCAAAATTGAATTTAGGGTAAGATCTCATTTAGGAATATACATCGCTCTTTCCCCATCACGCAGGACACACTTCTGCTTCCCACTTGACCATCCTTGACTGTTAAGTGAGCAGGTGACTCCTACCTCTAGTTTAGGCCCAGATTTATGAGCCAACACACATCTTTGTTGAAGGATTTCAGTATCAAAGTAGGTAGTGCCAGGGCCTGGCCCACACTGAAGTTTTCCCCGTGCCTTGTATGCGGTCAGTGTTTAGTATTAGTTACTAAATTGAACCAAGTGGACACTGAGTCCCCTGAGCCTTCTGGGGCAGAGAGTCCAAGAGTCTTCATTTATTTGCAGTCTTTAGTTTGTAAGGATTAAACTTACATTGTACTTAATATCAACTCTGATACAATTCTAGTTCTTTTAACAATGAAAAGAATCATACCCTACCATGAGCCATTTCCTTAAGGAGCAACCCAGGATGCTTAGAGGATTTGTATGTGGTAAAAACATTTTAAGTTTAATGTCTAATGTTGGCAGAATATTTGAAACAAACTGGCTTAGCCCTGGTATTCATAGTGCCTTTCCTTAGGGCTGCTTTTACCTGTTTACATTTGTGCGTCACTCAGCTGTTATGTTTGTTTTTATCCGACTTCTTTGCTGGTTCATTGCCTTGGCACCTAAAGCACTAAGGCTGGAGGGAAAGTTGAATAAACAGACTTTCTGTCTTTCATACACCCTGAGAACAAAAACCATTCACTCTCTACACACAATTTCAAGTAACCTGGTTGTCAGGATTGTGCTGTACTGTACTTTGCTTTGTTTTGTTTTACAATCCTGGCAGCTGTGTCTTCTTTATAGAATTGCCTCCGTATAAATCATAGGGAGAGCTGTTCACCAGGTCTTAATTACAGCCTTCTTGGGCTCTGTCAGACTCTTCGCTCAATCCTTGACAGTGACAGCCATCTGAATCAGAGCCCACAATCCCCTTCCTTGGCCTTCCTGGATTCTGCAGTTTAACGGAATACTGTCTATACTGCAGAGGACAGCTGGACTCTGAGCTTTTAACAGGGAGCAGATTTTACCTGGAGCGAAGGGAAGCAGTGGCAGCCTGCTGCTAGTGATACGTTATCATTGTTAGTCACACTGGGTACTCGGAACCAGATGGGTGTACAGCATCCTCTCCTGAGAGGACCACTCGTCTTTATAGTATTCAGTCCCAGGAGGAACTTTGCATTTTTAATAAGTGCCTTCAGCCGGCATCTTCAGGGCTCTCTGTAATTTTTTCTGAGCCCATGTCTGAAGGAGAAAATGCCTCCTTTTGCTATATGTTTATCAATAAAACTTTGAAAAGAAAAAAAAAAAGAACAAGAAAATGCCTCCTTTAGCTTCTTCATTCTAACATGATACATTGGTCAGCTATCCTGTTGCCAGGACACAAAAACCCCAAACCCACACCAAAAGGGAGAAACTAATTGGCTCACAGTTTCAGAGAGTTCAGTTCATGGTCCAGTGGCTGCAGGGCAGAAGTGTCCTGGTGGTGAAGAGCCTGGCAGAGCAGAGCTGCTCACCCCATGCAGCCAGGAAGCAGAGCGCAAGGGAGGAAGGCCAGAGAGGAAGGGACCACCACAGGCCAGGTATGCCCCTGAGGGCACAGGCAGCAGCCGCCTGGACACACCCACGGAGTGCTGCTCTGAGCCCGGGCATCTCCTGAGCCAACCAAGCTGAAAGTGAATTAACTCACAGGTGGCTTGAGACTGAATGACTGACTGACTTTCTCTTTTTCTCTGTCTCTTTCTTTCTTTCTTTCTTTCTTTCTTTCTTTCTTTCTATCTTTTTTTTTTTTTGGTGGAACTGGGGATTGAACTCAGGCCTTTGTGCTTGCCAAGGAAGCACTTATTCCACTGAGCCATGTCCCCGGCCCCCTTCTATCTTTCTTTATCTCTTTGTTTGTTTTGTCTTTTTGAGACAGGGTTTCACTATGCAGCTTAGGCTGTCTTTGAGCTCACTTTGTAGCCCAGGCTGGCTTTGAACTCACAGTGATCCTTGTGCCTCAGCCTCCCAAATGCTGGGTTTACAGGTATATGCCAACACACCCAGCTGAGAATTTCTAGTAGGTTTGCAGCTGTGAGTCCTGGTCTAGCCTGTTTTACCTTCTAATCATTAGAAATTCTTTCTTTTCCTTCTCCATTCCCCTCTCTGTCTCTCTCTGTCTCTCTGCCTCTCCCTTCCTCCCTCCCTCCTTCTCTCCCTCACTCCATCTCTTCTCCTCTTCTCTATATATAATTAACCATTTTAATTTCTCAAAAACAAAATATAGGCATGATGGTGGACACCTGTCATCCCAGCACTTGAGAGGCTGAGGCAGGAGGATTGCTGTGATTTCAAGGCTAGCCCAAGCTACATAGTGAGTTTGAGGCCAGCCTGAGCTAAGTGGTGACTACAAAGCCAGCCTGAACTACACAGTGAAACCCTGTCTCAGGAAAAAAAAAAGATTAAAAATAGGATTATTAATGATCCAGTCTTTCAGTTTATGGCTTAAAAGAATTTAAAGCAGAGAATCAGATATTTGTACATATGTGTTTATGGTAACACTAGTCACTGTAGCCAAAGTAGAGACCAGCCAGGTACCCATTGGCAGATAAATGAACAAATACATAGATACACAGTGGAATATTATACACTCTTTAAAAGGACGGAAATTCTGATACATACAATGACATAGCTAAAATTTGAACATTCAACTGAATGAAATAAGACAAATATTATGTGATTTTTATGGGAGTTAGTCCAAGTCATAGAGACCAAGCAGGATTATGGCCATGGGGAAGGAGAGAATAGGAGCTATTGTTTAGTTGGAACAGAGTTTCCATTTTACAAGATGAAAGGAGTTCTTGAGACGGACGGCAGGGATGGCTGCAGCCGTGCGAATGCCCCCCTCCCGGACTAGACAGCCTAAAAATAGCTGAGATGGCATATTGTCCTATGAATTTTACCACAATTAAAAAACAAAATTATCTCCTCAAAACAATCCTTGTTAAATAATTTTAAAAACCAGCCATTTCAGCTGGGTGCAGTGGCACTCAGCTCTAATCTGCGGGAAGCTGAGAGAGAAAGACGGCAAGTGTGGCCCAGCCGCGACAGGTTAGAGAGAGCTTGGCTCGCCTATGGCTCTGTGCTGCCCTCGTTGTCCTTAGGGCAGTGACCAACAGCCCACTGTTGTCTGGGCTTCTTTTGCCCACAGGCCCCTTCAGGTCCCAGCCAGGAAACCCCTGGTGAGGACACTATCCCATGATGCACCTGCCTCCAAGCCCTTGCTCTGACACCTTTATTAATGTGGTGGTCTGATCATAGCTTGCGCATTCAGGGAGCAGGTTTGCTGGGCTTCTGCTCCCTCTCTGGTGTCCCCATGAAGGAGGGAGCAGGGTTTTATTAGGTGTTGGCTTAGTTCAGGCTGCTCTGACAGAACAACATAGCCTGGAAAGCATAAACAGCAAGTATTACTTCTCTGGGTTTGAGGGCTGGGTTTCCCAAGGTGAAGACCCCAGCAGAGGCATGTTTGGGAGAAAGAGGCCATCCCACTCTGTCCCCGTGTGGTCGAGGGCTCTTGGATTCCATCCCTAAGGGCTTCGCCTTGTAACCCAGTGACCTCTCACTGCTGTCATGTTAGGAGATGGGGTCTCAGCATATGAACTGGGGGGAGCTTCCTCAAACATCTCTCCCCTAATAGGTACAAAGCTAAGTGCTTGTAATGCCACCAAAAAAAGATGGCATACTAGAAAGGGCTGTGCTTGGACAGAGAGGGACAACCATTTTATTCCTCTCCTGTCTACATGTACTTGATTGTCTCAACTCCAGTGGGGTATATGGGACAGGACAGGAACTTGAGGGTGAGTCATAAAAGCAGCTAGTTTTGTGGTCTTCCAGTCCTCTGCTGAGTTCCTTAGTTATTTTTTTTTCTGTGGCACAAAATCATTCAGTGATTTATCTACCTATTTCCCCTATTTTTCTAGTCTTTTCTTTAAGGGTAGGGAATTAAGATACAAGGTCCCCTGTAGCAAAAGTTATAGTGGATAATTCCTTGTAATCCCTTCCCCTTCTACCTTCAGCTGGATACGTGTCCAAGCCCCGAGCAAAGACGTCTGTGTGCTGATGACCAAATTATTGTCTGCATTTTCAGGTTCACTACAACATTGGCAAAAACCTGGCTGATAAAGGCAACCAGACAGCGGCCATCCGGTATTACAGGGAAGCAGTAAGGTACTGTGAAGAATCTCACAGAAGCAATATGTAGATGCAGTTTTCGCTCTCTGGAATTACAAACCTGTACCCTCCGTGATTCCAACTTTGAGATATTCTGAGAATTTAGAGAAAGTTACTAAATCCTAGCAGTCAGCTTGTTTTGTCTCTCAACTTCCAGACTAAATCCCAAGTATGTGCATGCCATGAATAATCTTGGAAATATCTTGAAAGAAAGGAATGAGCTACAGGAGGCAGAAGAGCTGCTGTCTTTGGCTGTCCAAATACAGTAAGTGTCGTTTCTGTGGTTATGCCAGGGACAGAGAGACTGAGCCCTACCTGCCTGTCGTTCTTCTAATAAGCCTTTCTTTGTCTTGCGCACCTGCTTTACAAAACGCCCTTCCAGGCCCGACTTCGCTGCTGCGTGGATGAACCTGGGCATAGTGCAGAACAGCCTGAAAAGGTTCGAAGCAGCAGAGCAGAGCTACCGGACGGCCATCAAGCACCGAAGGAAGTACCCAGACTGTTACTACAATCTTGGGCGGCTGGTAAGGTCAGGAGCCCTGAGTCCACGAGAGGAAAGACGAGGTGTCCCTGCAGGAAGCTGAGGCGACGGTAATACCTGCCCAGCACTACCCACTTTCTAAAGGGATTTCTCATACATGATTTCAATTAGCCAAGTTCGAGAGTTCACCAAGGCAATCAACTAATAACTCCAGTAAATTAAAACTTTTTAAATCCATTCTGCCCTGAAAATCTTCCTGATAATCTTCCTCTCTCTGATTTTTAAATATGAATAAAATAGAAACTCAGATTTCAAAGCAAACCTGGAGAGTGATTTCTGGGTTTCCTTGTCCACCTTCCTATAGGGACCAGATCTCTCATCTACAGGGGGAACGTCCCCAAAAAAGAGAGTTCCAGAAGTCGAGGCATTCATTTGAAAGGGCTCTGATATTATTTGATGGAAATAGAAAATAGTATGTCCCATAATAGCTTTATATTTTTTGTTGTTAACAGAATATTTAAAAAGATCTGCTTGTTCTTCATTTTCTTGACAGAGGAAAAGAAAATGAAACACGAATAATAAAATTCTTTAAACAGGAAGGATTGTATTCTCCCCTGGATCAACTCTTTAATTTGGATTCAAGAAACCAAATATATGTTCCTAATATATTTAAATTTATTTCACGAAATTACTGTGGGAAAAAGAATTTGGTTCCTCTAAACCAAACGGGAAAATATTGTGCATAGCAGTGTGACTTTTAAAAAAAATTATATGCGATTTTCCAGATTTTACTAAGCTTAGCCTCTTAAGTAGGATAACATTCTTCTGTTCTAAGGGGAAAAAATGCCTGTTTATCCTCATTTTAACCTCCAGAGATTTCTGTTTCATGTGGTCTTTGTGAATGAAAACTGATAGTTTCCATCGCTGAGTGTATGTCCAGATATCCCGCCCCTCGGAGATTTAGGGAATCAAAAGCTCCACACAGAATCTGTATTTTAAAAATAAAGGTCTGGGGCGTTGGTGAGATGGCTCAGTGGTCTAAAGCACCTACTTGCAACAAGCTTAGCAAACACAGGGACCGCGGTTCAATCCCCCAGCACCACATGCCAGCCAGCCCTGCCCCCTGGTGGGCTGAGCTGGCCACACACACACACACAC